TTTGAAAGAAAAGCATCAAGACAATCTGTAATAACAGATACCCGTCGTCGCGTTTGTCCATGCATAGTTCTTGACGAGATATGCAAAGACGTCTCCGAAAGACACGGGTGCTGTATCTCTCAAATCTGTACTCTACGAAACATCACGGACATTCAAATCCAACACTGTCCCACCACTCGTCATAACTCTCCGACGTGCTTTCATCGACTCTTCATGATCACCTCCTAAAACCTTACACCTCTCCGACGCCTTTTCTGCCAACTCTACTAACTCCCCTCCCTTCTTTCCACTGAATAGAATTCAACATATTGCCTTTTTAATTGTTAAAAACTAGTTGCGTATTATACACAACTGTTTTTTTACAAAAGCAATAATTTGTGTTGATTTTTGAGCAAATGACTTTCGTACTCGAGTATTGAGTATTGTGGAAACTTGTAAACAAAAATTCATCTTAAAGTTTCAACTGTTAAAAACGGGTTTCAATAATACAAAACGGAAATTAGTGTTACAAAATGATGCTACGGAGGAATTTGCAGCACTAGTGCCATCTCGTTCCCACAAAGTGCCAAATAACCATTTTTCAGTTAAGAGTTTAATAACTTCAAAACGTTTTTTTATTAGCGTTTCACCCCTTTCTTGATTTCTATCACTTTCTACTGGACCGAACAGAACTGCTTTTTGATTAATGCGCATTATTCTTCAGTCTCATCTGTGCCTTTCAGACTTCGGTAGTACCCGTGGTAGCAGGGTAGTATTATCCTTGACTCGCAAAGGTTGATCAGATATTTCAGTTTCATCGAACTGATTGGAAGAGGGGCACCGTTCAAGGATTTCTTTTTCTCGCTAATTATTGTCACTATATCTACTCCGTCCAGCTAATGTGACTTGAATGACACGGAACATGGTATTTGAACTGTATTTCAGTGGGCCTGGTTTTCTTAAATCTCAAATGCTTTATTTTTAGCTATTGAACCTGCTCTGCATCAGTATCTTTTTTCACATTGCTGAAGAGCACACAGTCTAATTGGTGCAAATCTACAAAGTCTTCGTATGTTAACTGAATGACTTTGTATGGTTGTTGTCTTCTAGACATTGCAATCACTGTTGCCCAACTTTCTGGGTGGAAGACAAGCACATTTTTTGCCTGCACAATGGTTGAGTGCATGGAATCGACTTCCATTTGGGTATGACCTGTCTCAAGAAACTTATGGTCAACTGTTTTGAAGTGCTTGTTTGTTTGGACAACATAGTTAAGGACTGCAGCAACATACTGATTTCTATGCTGCCCGCCGCAGCAGTCTGAAAAAAAGACTGACGTGCTGTACGGTTTCTGGAAGCTTTTCCAAATGGTCAATATGCCAAGTTCCAATCTCACTTGAGCCTCTTGCGCCGTTTGCTTCAGACCATAGGTAACATGTTCCTTAATTATTTGACTGATTGTACCAGGTTCATTTGAACGACGACAGCTTCTGTTTGTAGAACAATACGGAAACCTCTGAGCAAGGTGTTTGCAATACCTGTTGCAAGTCGAATGTGAAGGAACTGAATGATGGATTTTTTACTGCCCTGTATTTGTCTTTTTGTTTTTTCGGCACGACACCTTGTTACAACTGATAATGTAGTAACCAACGGATAACGTATCACCAATCGATAATGTATCACAAATTGACCGATATTGTATCACTAACCGATAATGTAGCAAAACAATTACTGATAGTGTAGTAAAATGTGTATCCGATAATGTATCACGTGTCGACGAATAATGTAACTACAAAATAACTGTTTCCAATAATGTATCACCTCGGAACGGATATTGTATCAACCGATAAAGTATCAAAAATCAACCGATTAAAGGGAAAATACAATATTTGCAAACATCAAAAAGTAAAACTACCAAATCATTTTGAAATACCTTGCTGGACTGTTAGTGAATGACAGTGTAAAGCATCCTGTAAAATCAGGGCACCTGGTATACTGTCATTTTCAAGAAAAGTGGTATTTGGGTATCAATTCCCAACGCTGATCGGCCGACCAGCGTTGGAAAAAAAACTGGGTTTTTTTTTCAAATACTGGCCCCAGTTGACCATCGCAATTGTTTGCAATCGATTACACACTTGTGAACGGGTACAAGCCAGCTAGACTGGTTCCCTTACCTTACAACCCCCAAATGTATGTAAACTGCTCTGTTTCTTCTTAAATGGAGTCAGGGAACCAGACTTCAGGAAAATGATTGTTTTTCTTGTTTTTTTTTTTAGCATTTTCGAACACAAAACTTCAAAAAAGTCAGTGTTACTATATTTGCTATATATTTCCACCCCCCCCCCCCAATTCTATCCATTTCTGAAAATTACAGCAAAAGCAAATGATGTATATTCCCTTTAAGTATCAGTATGGGGAAAAGGTGTACACAAATGTTTGTTTTATGTCCTATATGTCCCGCCCCACTTTTTGACGGGGGAGGGGGTCTAGGCTATTTGATCAACAACCCCCTCCCCCCCCCCCATTATTTCGTATTTAGAGAAAAAAAGGCAGATTTTTGAGGTATTTTTCAAACATTCCAACCACCGAAATGTAATAAATAGTACTGAGAAAGGGAGAAAAGTACACAAAGCTTGAAATCCGCTGATACATCTGTATCATGAACAGCGCCCCCAGTGTCATGTGGTCTCCAGCAAGGTCCCCCCCCCCCTCTTTTTGAATTTCACGGCCGGGATTTTTTTTTGTTTTCGCTATCCCAAATCCCCCAGTCCCCGGCACAGATTTATGCCACTGTTGCAAGAGCGGACCCAAGAATTTTCGCAGGGGGAGGGGTTTCATCAGCAAAAAAATCTGAAAATGTACACAGGTTTTTTTTTTCTCCGGACACTTGGCCTCCGTAAAATAAAAAACTGGAGGGTACCATATTTCAATAGGCGTTGCTGTTCAAATTCGACGATTATTTACACTGGATTACAGAATGGTGTACAAATACCCCCTATCTAAGCTGCCTCCGTCCGTAATTTGAACAGGCGTACATTATACCGGTATGTTTTGGGGGAGGGTGTCACGGGGGGGGGGGGGGGTTGACCCCTAAACCCCCTCCCCCGGATCCGCGCATGTGTTGGCCTCAAGGGTTTGGCATGCTCGTGACGTTTGGACTGCAAACTGTATGGGTTCAACAAACTGAAGTCAGTGGGTGAACAAATAACAAATGACGTCACAAGCGAACAGTGCCCCCCTTAAAACAAAAGCCGGTGCATTTGTACGGTACAGTTATAAAGTGTACATGATTGTAGGATTTTATTTATTGGTCTCAGTGGAAACAACTGGAAGTAAGAGATGGCATTCTGTGCAGAAGATGGGAATCGTACAATGGGAAACAGGTGGACTACAAAGTAATTCTTCCTATGAAATTCAGAGGGGTAGTGTTACAAGAACTACATGGATCGAGGACGGCTGGACACCTTGGGATTAGGAAAACTAAAGAAAAAGTGCAGGAGCGATACTATTGGGTTGGATTGAGTCAGGATGTACGTTCATTAATTAGGAAATGCTGCATGTGCACCAGACGGAAGTCACCTAGACAAAAGAAATCCCCACTTCAACAGTACCCAGCACCACTGGAGAGGATAGCGATGGACATACTTGGACCATTGCCGGAGTCGGACACAGGGAATAGATATATTCTAGTAGTTGGGGACTATTTTACTAAATTGGTAGAGGCGTATCCCCTTCCAAATCAGACAGCGGAGATTATTGCTAGGACATCAGTGGAGCAGTTCATTTGTCGCTATGGTGTACCAAGAGAAGTGTACAGCAATCAAGGGAGAAACTTTGAATCTAGAGTAGTAGCTGAAGTGTGTAGTCTATTAGGGATACAGAAGACTAGGACTACTCCATACAATCCAAAATCTGATGGATTTGTGGAGAGGTTCGATAGGACTTTGATGAATATGGTAGCTACTTCACTAGATCCAGTTAGGAATCAGAAGGACTGGGATGAACAAGTACCTTACGCTATGTTTGCTTATAAGAGTGCCACACAGGAATCTATTCAGGACAGCCCAAATATGATGATGTTGGGGAGGAATGTAGAGCTACCGGTAGACTTAACACTTGAGAAACCTGACAGGGAGATTTCTAACGACAGTAGTGATTATGCAGAAGAGTTGAGGGACCGTTTATATGTAGCGCATGAACGGGCAAGGAAATGTTTAGCAGTTGCAGCTGAGCATCAAAATGAGAACTATAATAAAAGGGCGGAGGATTGTAAAATCACTGAGGGCACGCATGTGTGGTTACACAATCCAGCAACAAAGAAAGGGAAGAGTCCAAAACTAGGCTTACCTTGAGAAGGACCCCACAAAGTAGTGAAGCAGCTCACAGATGTTGTGTTCAGAATAAAGAAAGGGAGAAATGCTAAATTTGCGGTGGTGCATGCCGATAGGTTGAAACCCTATGAAGGACCACCTGTAAAGAAAAACACTAAAAGAGACAAGGAATCAGTACTGGCGGAAAGGAGGTGTTCCTTAAGACAACGGATCCCATCAGTTAGATATGGGATGATGTAATGCCAATGAGTAGTATTCAAATAATGATCCTAACTCTTTTTTTTCTTTTCCACTTGTTTTTTTTCCGTAAAAAGATAGCCATGGCAAAAAAACTCCAGGACCTTCAAGAAATCCCAAGTGACCGACGAGTATTCGAATGTAAGATGTGTGGCCTTTGCTTTGGCAAGAGGTTCAACTACGACCGACATAAATCAACATTTCTGGGATACCAGGAAAGGTTTCAATGCGGGAGGTGTCCCCTCAGTTATGGTAGGAGAGGGAACTTGAAGAGACATTATGAGGCTACCCATGTAAGGTGCACTGCGGACGTAAGCGTAGTGAATGCCAGGATTAAACAAATCAAGCCATGGATGACCAGGCGGCCAATACAGAATTACAGAAGAGAGGAGAACAGAAACGAGTCAAGACAGGAATGGAATGGAAGAATGAAAGATCGGGCGCAGGAAGACCATGAGAAGAAAGAGAGAAAAGGACGGGAACACACGTAGCAGAGAGGACAGGAACACAAGGAGCAGAAAGAGCATGAGAAGAAGGAAACACAAAGGACAGGAACACAAGGAGCAGAGAGGCCGGGAACGTGAGGAGCAGAAAGGACGGGAACCCAAGGAGAAGAAAGGAAAAGTCGTGGAAAGGCGAGCACGGGAAAATGAGGAGAAGAAGAGAGAAAAGAGCAAGACAGGGATATCAGAGGAGCAGCAGGAGGAATGGAATGGAGTGAGTAGCAGGGCAGGAGAGGGAATGCAGGAGGAGGAGGAGGACGAAGATGAAGAAGAGATGCCGCCATTTTGTTAATGGCCTCAGATGTGGGGAGGGAGTTGGAAATCGCTGAGGCCGAGACTGAGCCGATCCTCCCTATTTCTGGCAAACCAAGGGGAACCAAGCTACAGACCATGATGAAGAGCAATGAAGAGGAGAGCAGTGAAGAGGAGAGCAGTGGAGGAGACAGCAGCGAGGGGGAAAGTGATGAGGAAGAAGAGGAAGAAGAGGAAGTCCACGAAGTACATGTAAAGCGAAAATGCAAGTGGAGAAACATGCCATGGAAGGATGTCATGAAGGGGGTGGTGAAGATTACAGAGAAACACATTCGGACCACGTACACCGTGAGCGGAAGGGTTATGGCAACAGAGGTGACCGAGAGGACATACGAGATGCAAGCAAGGAAGGGAGAAGAATAAGGAGCAGGTACATCGGGTAGAAAAGATGAAGAATTATAAATATTGTTATCCTAAAAAATGTATAAAGTTAATTTAATCTAAATTTCTAGTGTTGCGGAAAAAAATTGTAAGTTTTGGACAGAAAAGTGTGTCAAAGGAAATGATATGACATGTATGACAGCTTTTCAATGTATAAATTTGAAGATCGATTGTAATGTACCTAAAGATAGTTGAATCGGATTTACCCGAATATGTTTCTAACCAACTTGATGTTTTGTGATTAGACGGATTAACCCATTTTCTGGTTTTCAGATAATTAGTTTTAATTTATGCGTAAAGGTGATGTGCTAGTAGCAGGGAGACGAGTGTATTAAATGTATGCGATCTAAATTATCTCTGTATAAAACTAGATTTGATTTAAATTGATAATATCTTAGACTTTTAAACGCAGGCCAGAATATTAATTTTTTCTGTGCCTTCTCAGGTCTGAGGTTGAGAATAGTTGGTCACAAGATCCTGAAATGTTGTTCTTATCTAGCTGTTTAATATTTTCAATAGGCCCGTTTGGAATGGCGAATTTGGTTGAAAGTGTATTATCTGATTAAGCATGTAGGTTATTGTTGAGACAAAAAGTTCTCAGGGAGCTTCAAGACAATTTATTGTAATGTAAATATTGCCTAATTACAGTGTTTTCTTTTCGCAATTTTTAAAGATTCATTTCATTGATTTAGTCTTTAGGTTTCATAAGCTTATTTCTGAAACATGTAAGTACATAATGCCTAGTAGGATGCAGTATTTAAAGTTGTGGCCTTTTAAAGTTTTATTTAAATTAATAAGTTTCATTTTAAATATTTGTACATAATTTAACTAGCTGAGGACAGCAACATCTTAGGGGAGGGCTGTGTGACGAAAATGCCACTCTGGTCATTTTCTTAGACTCACCCGTACGCCTGGGTAAGTTTTTATTAGGTTCCATCCACTTTTATAACTATTTGATGACTTATTTTATCGCTAGTATTGACCAAACGTCAGCTGTTTTCATGCACTGCCACTGCCATGTGTTTGTGTGTGCTAAAAATAGAGTTAGGGTAAATTCAACATGGCTGCATCCTTGTTTCTAAAATCTGTTCGGATTGGCCTAAAGCTTTTAAAGAATATTTCTGATTTTTGATTATAAAACCGAGATTTATAGAGCAGAAAGTTGCATTTCCTTTATCTTTACCCATTTCAACACTGAGATTAAGTTTTTGGCAGAAAATATTTCAGTAGGCAATTATTTACCGAAATTTGCAGTGATTTCGTCTGCCAAGGCCTGAAATGCTTCATGAATATTCATGAGTATGACATCACTGGATTTTTATCAATGAAATTAGGTCATGTGTAAATGAAAGCTTAGGATTTAATGATTATTTGTATACTTTGAGTGCTGAATGTACAGCATAAATTATTGATTTTTCAGATGACTGGGCGTGGCTTATTTATTACGCGTACGGGCAGTCTGTGTGTAAGGCGCGCGAACCAAAGAGTATAAATAGGGCAGATTTGTGTGAATTCGGGGTTCGGGTGATTTAGTTCTGAATATGTCAAGTTGTATTTGTACTGCTGAGTTTGTCAAGTTGTAGTTGTACTGCTATCTCTGAGACGTCGAGGAGCAGAGGAGCTTGTGAGGGAGCTAAAAGGCACGTACAGAGCCGGTTTAATGTTTACATTAGCGTGCAGATTCACTGGGGAAAAATAGTTATTATAATTTAAGTTAGGGAGGTTTGGAATTAAGAAACTGAGGAGTAATTGAGGAGCTGAGGAGCCAGCAGAGGAGCCAGTTAAGGAGTTGAGGAGCAGAGGAACCAAGTGAGGAGCCGAATTTGGAGGACACTTTGTAAGTCACTTATTATCGGAATGGAGAAGCTGGATAAACTAATCTAAGGTCATCTAAGTTATCTCAGGAGCTAAGCAGATTCAAGAAACTACTGGCAGATCCGTCAGAGGCCTTGACTTAGCGAGACATTTGGACTGGCAGACGGAATTGCCTAGTCGTGTTTATATTTGAGAAACTACCGGCAGACAGAATTGCCTAACGTAGTGATATGTTTTTGAACAGGCAGACGTAATTGCCTATAGTCGTATTATTTTTATAAGGGCATAGGATTTGTCCGTTGTTATGTTTATAGTAAAGGTTAGGGAATAACTTAGAGACTGATTGTTTTGCCTCCCAGTGCAGAGAGCACTATCCTTTGAAGGTACCCCCCCCCCCCGGGTAAATAAATTCCAGAGATTAGGCCCCTAGACTCGTTCCTTACCAGTGCAAAGTGCACTTCCATTTACTGTATTTTCTCAGCTTTGAATTAATTTAAGTTTAAGCTCATCCTTGGCATTGTTCTTTTTACTGTTGTTCAGTTTTGAATTAAATTGCTAGTTTTCGAGTTATGCTGAAGATTTGCCTGAGGTGTATCTTTCTTGAGTCAGTCCTCAGGAACTAGTAAGACTGTTTGTCACTTCACTTAACTTCCTCACTCGGTCCGATATTTTGACTACGAACTACGAGTAATTTAAAAATGACACACAGATGACTAATTAGCATAAAAAACTCACCCGACGAGTAAATTAAAAAAAAAACCCTTAAAGACAACGTGTAAACCTGACGTCAGAATGGCACACGAGTCAAGGTCACTTTGTGTTAGCCAAGCTTTCTGCCTTTCTGCTAATCTACCTTTCAAATGCATAACAGACTCTAGGATGTATCCTTTCCAAATGCAAGAAGGTAGGAGTGTGTCTGATACATTTGGATATGACATGTCATAAATGATGTAGCTAACCAACAAAGGCATCAGTGTAGCAATTGTCCCCGTTACTTGGAAGAGGTCCTGTTGTTCTGCATAAAACATGTAGTACTCCTCCTTTGACAAGGTCCTGCTCTTCCCTTAGTACACACCGCTGTATAAAATGCTCCACAGGCGACATGCGATTGAGCACATGCGCAAGTATTCGCCGGGGTCATGCAAAAATGAATATTCATTACTCAGTGACCTGTTGGATTTTTCCGCGGAAACCCCATTCATAAAAAAAACCATATTAATCCTAATGAATATTCAATACAGGGAAGATCTAACCAATAGTAGATGGTTGAATATATCGTCTGTCGTGTAGTAAAATAATATAGACAATCTGCGGCCGTCAAGGCGCGATTAACGCAAAAATAGCGATTTGTGCACAAGTTTCGCTACGTTCATGACGTGAAATAGGTGGATTTCAAGTGGAATTTTCTACATAAAGATGAATTATCTGTAGCATGTGGAAAGTAAGATTTTAAAAGGGTTGTGGAATGCACGAAGACATTTCCGTCGTTTTCCGGGTATATGTAGCCTACAGTGTGATAAAATAAAATGAATATCAATACAAAAGGTACTTTTGAGAGCTGTTTTTTTGGCTCCTGTTTTGTCCCGAATGTGCAATTTGTGTAAAAGTCGTCGTTGGGGCAGCAAACAAAACACAGTAAATCATGACGTTATAAACAGGACTCCCGTTGCAGCGCAGTTCCGGCGAAACTTGCAAATCGCTCCGCGCAAAGAGACGATTAATGTGCACCGTTGTATGGGCGGCCACATGCTCCTTACCCCAACTGTACTTGTCAACAGCTTTTGCGCCAAAAATCATAATTAATAAGTTCAGTTTTGTAACGGGAGGTATCTTCATTGACTTGTTGGTAATGATTGTTGATTATTCAGTATTTTGATAGTATTACAGCCTTTTATTTATAGTTAGTAGATTATTCCTTTGTATTTGCCCCAACAGCCAACCATAGTAAAATAAATGTCTATAACACATCAACATCGTTCCCGTTTGCTGTACTTCACGCTAGTTCTGGAACGCGCTGAACACAGTTGTGTGGACAAGGACACGGGGAAAAAAAGGTTTGGAATATGTAAACATTCTTATCAGTCCGGCCAGCAGCCGCCGGTCGATCGGGTAAGCGGCAGGGCTAGGCCAGGCGAAGGCAAAGCTACGCCGGTTAATTGTGTTGTCGGTGGCTGCAATCGCACTTCAAAGAACAGCCCTGACCCAAGTTTTTATACCTTTCCTATCAACATTTCCCTGCGGCGCCAGTGTATACGTGATCAATCAAGTTTACTGAAACGAGAATTTGGAATTCCAACACGCTTGTATATTAAACCAGCCGCGGTACCAACGAAGCGGACGTGTGACAAGCCATCTCCCCAATCCACAGAACGGGCTGCGTTTAGAAAAGGGAGTCAACAAGGGTAAGTCTTCTTTCAACTACATGTAGCATGACTAGGACTATTTGAAGCACAGCTTAATTATTGAACTTAATTTGGTTAATTGGACGGACTAGACGTATCGAAAATAAACTCGTGAACAGTGCCCGGCCGGCTGCCGACCAAATTATTCAAAACGTCGAATGTCGTTATAATTAGGCGCAGGCTAAGCCTTCATGAATTTTACAGCGTCCTGCATTCATTGAGAACATTAACATTTAAAATTCGTACGTATCTAGTCTGGCTCCAATACCTGACGTCCGTTATTAGACTCGCCAGGTCAGCTGCGCTGAGAGCACCAGACTAACATCTAGTGGCCGAGCAGCAGAAGCTCAGAGCTAGCTGCACGCAGGGACAGGGGTCACGT